CCCAACTCTTATATTTAGCTGCCACCTGATGGTGCGCTTGTTCCGCTCTTTTCATCTCGAGTAATGAGAGTGAGGAGGTAAGGAGTGGAAGCTGGCACCAACAATTGGGACTCGTCCGACTATGCTATGCACGTACGAGCGCGATTTAGCGCGAGCTTCTACATGGAGCATTTCAAGAAGGTGTCCTTGCTGTATCCTTCAGTACCTTGTCATTAGTGCTTGGGCCGCACAACTCATTATTTCTGAGCGCGAGGCGTGTCTCTAAGTTATCTTCGGACTTAATTTCCTTTGGATGTCACCTATTTATGTCCCTCATATAGTCCAGTTCGCTGCGAACCAAGGTGCGTGTCAGGCGGAGTGAGCTCGGCGCGATGCCAAACCCGTTCTCCAGCAGTTTCCGAAGCGAGCAAATGTTGAGAATGTATTATATCGTTTCTATCACTCGCTATCTACCGATTGTTGTCGCTTCCACAAATGGTAGAGAAAGGGGTTTGAGGCCGAGGCACACTCACACTGCTTCCGCCCCTTCATCCTCTGCGAACTAGAGCATACATATATTGCTGAAAGTCTGCTTCTTCCCATCAAAGTCTGAGGGAACAGAGGACAGACTGCATAACAGAGGAACACACACATCAGGCATCTATGGCGATTACTTTCCTGACTAAAAACCCAGTTCTATACTATCACATGCATCCAAAGTCTTAGCCGCCAGGCTCCTCTAGTGATAGTTACAAAAACTAATAAGAAGACAAATATGAAAAAAGCTCAACAAAAATGGTACATGGTTTCGTGCGGGAATCGTTCAACAAATTGTCCACTTGCTCTTTCCAATCGAAATAAAGGGTTGTACGTTCTTCTAACTTGTGGACGATTTCACTGAGTTCCTCAGCGGTGTAACGATACCTCAACACAGATGGGAATATTGTATCAAAGGATGGTTGCAAAAAAAGAATCATACTTCAGAATACATTCCGACGGAGGACATTTACTACACAGGTGGTCAATGTGCTCGAGACATACTGCTTTCCCATGCGCACAAGCCAAAGCCGAAAGGAATACTGTAGTGTTGCAATATCTGAAAATGCTCGCTGCAGAACCCCTAAACGTTTGGAACAAACCATAACCACAAAATGAACGCTTGTTGTGATGCCAAACCTGCAAACGCGAGCATCGTCAGCAATGACCTCAAAGGTCTCCCGTTGTGACATCGAAACTCCATTCTGGACGGCAAGTGTTCTCAGCTGAGTCTCTCGCTTTGCGATCTTCAAATGACAAAGACTGATATTAATCCATTCAGATGAAGACTATGAATTTCCTCGTCACTTTTTCCTATAGATTATCTAAGATGTCAGCGATTTCTGTGATCGTAGTTATCGGATCATTCAAAGATGGTTGCGGCGTGACTGCGCGCCAAAAACAGTATAAAAAGACGAGCACTGCTCACACTTTTATACTGAGCAGTGTCTCCTTCGCTTCTTAGGCTGCGTTTATACTTTGCGGCAGCATAGCGTAGCGTAGCGCTTCCAGCGTTTCACGAGCGTTTCACTAGCGTTTCGCTAGCGTTTGCCAGCGGCGGGGCTAGAGAGTATAGAAGAGTAGGAGAGTATTTTGTACTCTCCTACTCTTCTATACTCTCTAGCCCCGCCGCTGCAAACGCTAGCGAAACGCTCGTGAAACGCTGGGAGCGCTAGATCGATAGCTATG